TAACAATAAGCTGCAGCGACACTTTTGATCGCAACGCTCACTTTTTTTAGTCTAGTTCCTTAAAGCTAACCTGGAAATTTTTGCGGTTTTGACACATCTACGCATCTCTGTCTACAATGGCTTATCTCAGGAATGCGAGGAATTAGTGTGGGTTTCCTCGAAAATTTGTACTTGTCTTGCGACCTTAATGGCTTTTAATCTTCCACAATAAGAAGCGAAGACGTTTCGGGTCGTCATTGGAGCCAGAAAAGTATCAGAAAATATGTTACTATTCAACGCACGGCGACTGACCTTAATCATATAGCAGTATACATTCTACATACATTGGCTGTTTATCTTGTAAATATCATGTTGGTAAACATTCTTTTCAAGGTGGATAAGTCTTATTATCACAGAGTTAGTTATGAGAGAGTGATCGGTTTCACAGAAACAAGCAATCAGCACCGTCGGTCAGCGGGCCGGAGACCCAAGGGGACATCGGTTGCTGGTACAGACAGACAGCTGGCTTGGAACGATTTTGTTCCGTCACTGGCTGTCCGGACCATTGGTCGGGTTACTACGAGAAGGCAGCTGTCTCTGAACAATTGACTGCATAAAGGCATCTGTTGCTGTACTCGCCCTCAACATACAACGTGCTTCGACCAGACGTTCCCGCGGTTTTGGTAACCATTCTATTTATAATGCTGTTTTCGTAACCAGAGATGAAGGATCACGTGGACTTGTTAACAGTGGTCCGTTAGCGACCACCGGCTAACGGGAAACCAACCTGGATAGTGCATACGTGAAGAAATAATTTGTTACGGTTTGAAATGCGGCGCCTGGAAAGTGGGGGCAGCGCACGCAAGGCAGCCACATGGGTTGCTTAAAGGTGCACATGAATGTTCCAGAGACCAGTTGTTATCTTCTGAATTGTTTTGGGGCCAATCAAATGAGTGTTGCTTACCCTTGTTGGTCGACCAAATGGTACCTTACCCACGGTGCGCGTGCGTCTGTGTGCCCCAGAACCTCGGTGGCTCATGTCATCATGGCGTAGACCACAAGATCTTTACTGTCTCCTCTAGAATTTATCGCCGGTCACGGTGATAGATATGCAGCTCATAACGGCGCATGATCAGGTCACTGCGTTGGAGACCACCCAGGTGGCACGTCTTGGGCGATGGGTGGCGATGGACAAGCTTTTTCAAAAGCATGTTGGATTTCTAAGAAACATTATCGATCGCCTTTCCAAATAGAAACAGTTCACGCTACGGATGAATGACCCGCTTGCGAGTGATGTATAAAAACGCGGACATGGATGAAAAAAGGAAACATGGATCCGTTCCCTGGAATATATCCATGTGAGGCTAAAGTCAACATGGCCATTATCTAGATGGTTTCTACCCGGACGCGCCTTCAAATCAAGAGGGGCATTATAAAGTGTGAGCTTCCGTTCACCCATTGGTAGAGAAGAATGAGAAATTCGTCCAAGCTTCCCGGATTGTTTTTTTGTCGTTAAACTGCTACCATTCACGTGAAAGGCAGGAAACAAGGGTGACAGAATCCCTCATAATATTTTACTGCTGCGCAGTAGGCTTGCCACTGTAAGGACCAACATAGAAAGCATCCACCTCGCTTTAGACTGGGTTCTAGATACAGCGCGAACAACAGTCAGCGAGAGGTTGTTCCACGCACCAAACTCCTGATATGAAAAAGATTTCTGCATAGGAAAAGCGTGCCCCTGATCTTGAAAATCATTCTACCATGTCCCCGCCGTGTATTGATTGGGTTGACTCTGAAAAACCTGTTTGCTAAACTTTGCTCATATATGGCATAAGCAAGTGTCAGGTTCCCTCGGGGGTAACAACGCTCCAGGGGAAAGATGCCAGGCACCACGAGACGTATTTCCTAATCAACGGATTAGGGCCGGCTAGCATTTTGTCGCAGCTCAATGGACACGCTAAACGAGGCATCCTGAGTAGGCAACTTGTATTCAAGAAGCGATCTGAGGTAAACAAAACTATTGGCAGTCTATACCAGTATATCAAGGGAAGGGGTCACAAGTCATCAGTAGAATGACGAACGTGGTTTGAGCCGACCTCCATGGTGGGGTAAGAACGACACGTTCGACGACAGGCGGACACCTAAAGTATTATTTCATCTATCGTCGTAATGTCTTTTGGCCTATTCTCATGGTGCTAGGAAAAGGAATTTGCTGAGTCATCTCCAAACATGTGGACGCGCTTCTCGTCATTCAGAGGAAACGGCCGGTATAACACCCACTGCTTTGCGGCGTCGACACTAATCTATGGGGCTCTTGCGTCGAAACTCCAGGACTTTATGCCATCCGCAATGAGCAGACATGAACCGCAAAACGGGTCCGGAAGTTCATGGGAGTAGATCAGATCCCGGGATTGTCCTAAAACGAAGTTTTGTGGAGTTCCAACGGAGACCGATGCAAAAGTAAAGGCAATAGAACGGAGTTCCACCCAGAAATTTGTCATATAAGAATGTCTTGATCTGGCGTAGAATTCCTCATTGAATTCTCTAAGACAGAGATTATGGAGTATCCAGATGTGTGAGCTCGATCAATTGCTTTTGGGAAATCCAAAAATATGGCATTCTGCATGAGTCCTTTGCGTGTGGTTTGGGTTAGGCTGTCCAGAAATACGAGCATGTTTGTCACGGAAGAATGGTTTGAGAGAAGTCAGTGTAGCACTGGCGTCATGATGTTGTTGACAGTGTGGTGGTTTTAGATGGTCCGACTCAGAATGCATTCTATCACCTCGAGCAGTATGCCAATAGGCCGGTACATGCTGGGCAATAGGCGATCACCAGAATTACAGGTGAGCTTGATAGACAATTCCTTCCATTACAGGGAGAGTTGCATTCATCGTGCGACTTACGAAACACAGGGCAGAATGCTTTGCCAACCTGTGTGTCATTTCCTCCAACATCCTTGGATGGATCTGAAATGGCACCAACGCACTGAAGGAGTTTGTGTGGGGCAAGAGTTAATGAACATTTTCCTCCATGATGGCCAAGTCGGCCAGAGGATGCTTGTAGTTGCGCCTTCTCAGGACAATATTACTTATAACACGATGGTAGTATCGGGGCCGAACACAGTCCTGCATAGCCTTCTCTGTAGGCGGAAGACACCAAAGGCGTCACTTGTGGGTCACGTGTTTATATCCCTCGCAAGAAGGTAGCTGGCCTGTTTCTTCAGTGGTATCATGAATATAATAGTGCATTTTCCGTGCATTGGTCCAGTGCCGTGACCAGCTTTTTGCATGCTCCATTTTCGGATCTTTTATTCACAGCGGTATGGAACATTTAGTCCCCCGTAATTTTCACTTTAAAGAATATTTGGGACCTCATTTTCAGCAGACCCCGATTAATGTTGGGTAGCTTCCTACTCGTTGAACTGCGCGCTAACTTCCCTCTCCTGAAGTTTCTGGAAAATGGCCCGTATTTCTCCTCTACTGGGGCTGATACCTGTTTAGGCTTTTCAAAGAAAATGCGCATTCCCGGAAAGCCTGCGCTCAAGATGTTTCGAATTCACTTTTGAGGCTCCCAGTTCCTGTTTTGATGGCGGATGAAAACAAGGTCAGCATGCAGTGGCTACTGGGTTCCGTGATAATCGAAGAGAAACCTGACGGTGATGGCCAGACCAAGTAGGAATGGTAGGTCACTTTACCGGGTGGTTGTGACTACACTCTGATTTCAAGCGCGCTGTTGAATGACTTTGGTCAGCACCGACCCAGTGCTCTGAATCTCCTTCCAAGAAAGTTAGGGAGCGGTGAAATCACCTACTAGAAGAGGCTGTGTGAGTTAGTAGCTGGAGGAAGATTGTAAATGCGATTACGAATGGTTGTTTAGGGCGATCCAGCTTTCGAATATATATAATTTTATTGGAATTAAGCAGTTTTTGGACCAATAATTCGACATCATTTCTGTCCCGTTCGAAGGTGGAGAGCAGGGAGCGTGCCAACTGAGGGTTTGGCGGAATTGATGGCTTTACGCTGGATTGGAGTCTTAGGCTTCAGTAGGGGCCTCTAGGGGGACTTTTCTGCTTTCAGCCTTGTTATATACAATACTCGCTGTCTGCTTGTAGGGAGGATTTTCCCCTCTGAGTCTGACTCGTGGTGACTCTTCATTTTCTAAGGAACGCAGCTTTTACCATGTGATCGAAAAAATCAAAGGCTGCCGCTTTTGGCTCGCGCGGACTCCGAGAGTCGTTGTTTTTCGATGATTCGCGGAGACAGTTGGGTTTCTTGGGCTTCCTAGCGTGGTTTGTTTGCTGAGGAGTCCCTGTGAAAAGTTGTCGGGCAGCGTATACGCTGTATGAGACCACCATGAAGCATTCGTTTTGATGGTATTAACAAGGGGCTCATTTTTCAGCTGACCTTACCTTGGATTCAGCAGACAGTCTTTCATCTGGATGAGGCCCCCTTGGCTTACTTGATAGTGGTCGCATTCCTTTTGTGTTTCTACGGGCTCCTAGGTTTTCTGTGACAGAACATGATCTGCAGGAAACTAACACAGAACTCACAACCTTCCTAATTGCTTTATGTGCGTGTAAGCGGCACAGTATCGAGCCACAATCAGGCACACCCCTGACGCCTCTATTTATCACGCCAGTTTTATCCACAACGAACTTCTTGACGCAATGGTATCCACATATCATGTCCTTGCACCGACTGAACGATTCACAAACAGGCGCAAAATGCTCGCTGTCGACTGAGGCCAACGCGAGCACTAAACCCATCAGTACTCTATCGGGCACGAGGATGGTGTACTTACTGTACCTACGTGGTCAATGTCTGACACCAAAAGAATTTACCCAAGGTGGTTTGCGCCATGCGTATGGGGTTCGTTGAAACAAGGCACAAATATTGGGCGGGCGCCCCGTAAGGTATGTAACCAAACTCGTGGAGCTCAAAGCTGGCCTCGGGAGCAAGGTGCAGCCATCGACCAACCTCCGCGGGGATGGGTGAGCGTTTGCCGAGGTTGCTGTAGAGGTCTTAGGTATTCAGCACATTTCCAACTTCATCAACAGCATTATTCCGCTCCTTTGATGACGGTGTTCCGCTTTCAAGTGGAGTGCTGCATTCCTCTAACTGGTCTACAAGGGTCCGTCTGCCGAAGGGTGATTTAACCCCAGGCACTAGGGGCCATATAACAACGACCATAAAGCGACGCCAGGCACCAATTACAGCACGCGCCGTCTGCCACCAAGACTGTGCGAGCTCATTTGTTGCGACAGACTTCTTGGTCTCGGCTTTGCCCAACATGAAGCCTGCTGCAGTGACAGTATTCTGCCGTACATAAGCCGAAAGTGACTGACCTCTGAATTTACGCAGAAAAAAACAAACTTACAACCAACTTACAAAAAATTGGATTCTGCGACCGAGGAAAACTTTCTGTAGTTTCAGTCGGGTTTTGAGAACATTTTGACTGCACATAGTTCATTGCTTCGAATAAACGTCATCATACACCACAACGTTTTACAAATCTCATTTGTTCGAACTATGGTTTCAGAGAAACTTTGGGTTTGCTCCTAAAGGATGGCAGACTTTATATGTCGATTTAGATTTCGAGCTGTTTGGTGGCCTTGAGAATTCACCCAGTTAAAGAAACATTCATTCACAATTAAACACTAGAGTGCGCAGTCAGGTGTAAAATCCCGCCATCGAAAACTGTACTTTTGGTTCAGACCGCATGATCCCTACTGAACCGTCAGCCGACCGAGTAAGGTGATTAATTGCAGACCAATCATGTGCGAGATACTGATCAGGTCCGTTGCTGATCGCTCGGGGGGACAAGAAGAGCGTGGGGCAATGCGCTATTGACCACCGCGTTGACCATAGTTACCCGCTTCGTCGGTATTTCCAGAAAAGTAGTCTCTTGGGAGATCTTCTGATTGAAGACAATGATGAGCTAGCCGTAGTAACTTCGTAGCTTAAACCTAGCTTCACATGGGTTTCTCCCTCGATTTGCTCAGGATAGCAGGTAGACTTTCCGTCCGCACCGTCGATCATAGGTGCATTTCGGCTGTCGAGTGCACAGCCCTGTTGGCGTAAAACGCCATGCCAAATATTACGTGGTGGTCAATGGCTACTCTACATGCGAGGAGCTTCATCATTGGACGGGTCGAAGCTTGCAGAGCTTTGTCGAAGCACTGCGGCATGCTAGTTGTGGAGTGTTCTTTGGAAGCCTTATGTCAGACGTGCACTTGCCCTGGTGAGAGATAGGGACGCGAACGGGAAACCTTCTGGAGTATTAAGTTGATCGAGGGGGTTTGGACAAGAGTGGACATTCATAGCTGAACTTCTCAGGAATGTCCTGCTACTGTCAGACTTTTCAGCCACTTCAGATACTATTCAGGAAAGTTTAGAAATGTTTCTAGAAATGTCCTTGAACACTATGGGAATAACTGAACCGGTCCAAAGTCGTACGCAGAACATGGGCAATTAGTTATAGTTATGGAGGTGTGCTGTTATGCGTTGGCAGTCCTGTTTTACGACTTTCTTCATGGTTGTGGTTGGGCTGTGTGCTTCTGTCCAACGACGGCTGACAGCAAATACAGACAGCTTCAATGTATGCAGTGGCGTGATAGAGCTTGCCAGGTCGTTTAATATCTAACGGCGGCAAGACGGCTGAATAAAGAGGATTCAACCTGTGGGTCGCGGTTCTCTGCATTGTGTACAACGAACGCTTGGACCAAATTCTCAGTCGAGATGGTGGAGATAGGAATAACCTCTGGTTAGTGAGTAAAGTGACGGACACGTTAATCCATGGAGAGACCGTTTCAAGCACAGCAAAGTTCAATGATATCTAATGATACGGCAGAGAAGCACCAGTGTTGAACTCTAACATTATGCTGTCGATGGTGATGATGATGATGAATGTCTGTACGGACGTGACTCTTTCGGGCGTTCCGAAGCGTCGGAGAAGCTAGCTGTGTCGATGCGTCTTGGGGCGTTGATAATCTAGATAGCCGCAGATCCATTAACGAAAATCGCGGCCGATTTTGGGCCAACCATTAGGTAACCATCTGGGCGGAGGCATGAGTGCAGAATCTGACATGCCATGCAGAACAACTGTCTCTGTGGTCACATGTTAATAGGCACCAGCGGATACGCTGAAGCCAACGACGTGCCAGAATGGATTGGGCTCCCATCGCTCGGTAGACGTACGTATTGCGCACGCACGAACGCAGACGACATTTTCAGTTGAGCCCCTGTGGTGTCACTTCATAATACCATAATTTGTTCCTGGTCAGTTTGTGACTGGCCGCTAACGGCGTCCATCATTGACGGGGTATCTTAGGTGGCATTATCGGAGCAGGAAATATACCTGGTATCACTTATGAACTGCGATACGAAGTCCAGCAGCTGGTCAGATCTTTATTTACCCATGCGAGGTTCATCTGGGGCACGACGTCGGGGGTGCGCATAGACAAATGGGTCTTTCGTGAAGACAGTTGTCACCAGTATGATAGCAAGGGACGTGCCCTGCAAGGGGTCAATTGAGGCTGTGGAAACTGTTGAGCAGCTTCAATAAGATTGACTGGCAGAGTCAAGTTCAGATGACCAGTTGCACGGAGGGAAACCCACGCGCAATTTGCTTGCGATCACCATTGAATCGAACCCGATATCAAGTGTTGGCCAAGATGCCGGGGCGCTCGATGATGTTAAGGCCAATCGTTGGCTTAAGGATAATAAAGGTCCACGAATAGCGCTGGGAGGGCTTGACTTCGAGATGGCTCAAGTGGTTAGAGCGCGAATTTACTGACCGGAAGGTCCGTGGTTCGAACCCGACCTCCGCCACTCGACTTCCCCTGTCTAGGCTTGGGCAACCTGACAGTATCCCAGCCCTCGTGCTTCCTTCGGGTAGCATGGCAGCTAGGCATTGAAAGGGCTCTACAGCTGAACGATTTTTTTTATGACTTCGAAGATCACGGATTTCCTCCCTTACGTGAGGATATCTGTTCCATTGGCCGTACGTACGAACAATCTGCGAATAGAGCGTTCGTTAGACCCATTGGCACTACGCTTACTGCTGCTCTAGTGTCGACTAAGAATTTCATGTCAATATACCAACAGGATTAGACGGATGGTGTTTGGTCAGCCGACCAGTGTTTTCGTAATTGCCTGTCTTCCGACCAGATGCTGTCACCCTGTCGTGACGGTAGCGCTTCAGGGCTTCGATGATCATGCTGGGTACGTTGACCGGAATCCAGTTCTTTAAGGTTCTCACACCATGAAGGCTAGCGGGGGGAGCAGTCTGGCAAAGGACAACGAGTCCCAGCACTGCAAGAAATCGCGTTGCGAAGCGACCAGAGGCAGATATGTACCCCTCGCTGCGACAGGAATTTGAGAACAGCAAGGTATTTCCTCCAGCCAACCATAATTTGTTTGCTTGTGGGTGCTGCCTCCCCCTTTCATGAGTGACGGGTTAGAAACAGTGACCTTAAAAACCGCGCACTTGAACCGTCCGGAGCCGGATTTGGAAGTTCAGGGCAACGTTTTTCAACCTTCGACATTTGTGGCGCTAACGTGACAGCCTGACTGTCAAGGGTAGGGTGCATAACGCTGCTGTTCGATCTGTCCTTCTCTAGGGATCGGTGACCTGGCCTCTGCGCGCAGGTTTTCGGACACCGTATGCTTGACCATTGATGCCCCCGAAGCATTGCTTTGGCCTGGCGGAAACGTCAGGTCAGCAATCTTAAAAAACACAAGCTGATTTTCAGGAAGGGTAATCCTCCCTCGATAGATCAGCTGGGTACAATCTATAGGTTACGCTGGCTAGGCCATATACTTCGTACGCCGGGGGACTGTTTACCTGGTTGAACCCTGTTCACCGAGGATGGTGATGACCAACGAACCGTTAGTTCATGGCTCGTAAAAGAAGCGTAAATACCAGTTCAGGAGCGGTGGCAACTGCCGTCCCTCTGGATGGGGACCCCGGGACGATATAAGCCAATGAAGATCATGCATCGAAACTATTGCATATCTCTTTTACTGCCTGCCGACTTAGGCAAACAGAACAATTTGACGCCAATAAACTGATTGGGCCATCGCCTCTGTTGCTCGACTTTAATCGCTGTAGTTTGGTACACGGATTATAACTGGAAAGTTGAATATTGTCAGTTGGTTTGGTCGTTCCTATGATATGGTATTACAAAATGTTTCCAAATGTGCCTTCCTGTGCGGTCATACGCAAGCGCCCCTTATCTTTCATGTGTGAACGGCCGGTGAAGGTTACAAAAGGACAGCACGGTTAGCTAAATGCAGGACTATACAGCTGCTAACAACACCCGTCTAAGGATGATACAGTGTAGTAGAAAATACCCAGACATAAAGAAGACACCTAAGTAACGAGTAGCCATATATAGCATTAAGTCGAGTAAGATTGGATAGCCAAGAGGTAATCCAACTCCTAAACAGTTGGAGAATTTGAGGTAGAAAGTGTTCCAGAGTCTCAAGATATCCGGAGCAAAACAAAGCGGAGGAGACTTCTATGTGCATTTTGGGTTTTCTCCCCTGTAGGAGTCATGATTATCATCCCAGACAGTTACATCATTGTAGAAGAAGGAATTAGAACTGGGCAGTCTAATTACAAGCGCGGATAAATTTCAAAGTGGTCGCGAGTTCAGAGGGGTACTTGCCGCGGTAGTAGCGATGGAGTTTAGGAGGTTATGTTCCGACAGTGTGAAACGGGTTTAGGTGGGCGAGGTGAACAAGTGAAGGGCGGAAGAAGAAGCTCTGCTTCAAACATGACTATGTTTTATGGTGGGACGAGTCTGATATGTAGATGAATGGAAGCTATAATGGAGAGAATTTTTCGGTAGTAGAATAAAAATCCCACTTTTCAGAGGGACAGAGTCACAACCAGTTCAATAAGAGACGGCCAGAAAAAGTGCTGAAAAATGATAGACAAGAGAACGAGTGGGATATTGTTAGGTGGTGGTGGAAATGACAGAGAAAAGGACGTTGGCGAATGATTATCAATGAGGAGAGACGGACGTGTTGGGACTTCGATGAGCTAATTTGGCCGCTGTCGGTGAACCTCGCCTAGGGACGTTTCTGCAGAAAGCCATTGTCGAGGGACGGTTTATTCCGACTAACCTGGTGCACATACTTCTGATCTTAGAGGCTTCAGAACCGATCCCGACAACAAGGCATCCTACACAGGTATATTTGTCTGGATCTCCCTGGCATATAAGGTTCGCTTAAACTTTCTGTTGGAACACCGTGGGAGTCAAGAAGTTGAGTCACAACTGCTCCAGCTGTTAAGCGTCGAGCCATATTTCGCCAGACAGAAGCCCTACTTTGGTGATGTTATACTTTAGATACCTCGGGGTGGAGTTCGTGCTCGATTGTCCAACCTTTAGTCAACATAACCGTCAGTAGCATCCCTACTTGAAATTAAAGAATCAATCAAGTCATCTGAACCGTTGATACTTTTCACTTATTCCATATGTTTGTAACTGCGGGAACTCGTCAGGAAAATTAGTGCCTCATCCGCTGATTCATTGGTTCACTGAGACGAGATGGCCCAAGTGGTTAGAATGCGAATTTACTGACCGGAAGATCCATGGTTCGAACCCGACCCCTGCCTCTTGAATTCCCCTGTCTAGGCTTGGGCAACCTGGCAGTATCCCAGCCCTCGTGCAACATTCGGGCAGCATGGCAGTTAGGCACCGAAAGGAGGCTACAACTGAACGATTTTTTCATCGGTCCATTGGCCACTTTGCCTGATTACTATTTTTCGAAATTTAGTAAACCCATTTTTACACTACCTCTAGAGAAAGGAGGCACAACTGAACGATTTTTTCATCGGTCCATTGGCCACTTTGCCTGATTACTATTTTTCGAAATTTAGTAAACCCATTTTTACACTACCTCTAGAGCCCGAATGAAATGATGCATTTTTGTATGGCATTTTTCAATAAAGTTTCTTGCGATCTTGATTGACGCAGGCTACGAGGCTATGAAAACAGTTTGCCTCAAGCATAGATTCAGCACTTGTGCAGCAGGCATCCACGTAACAACACCCAATTGAATATTCCCTTGTAGCTGTACACTTCAAGTGCAAGGATCCTTACTGTGAACTGAGATGGCCGCCTAACGAGGGCGGATTTTTGAGGTCGTAATGGGAGTAGAATACCGTATTTTGAAATTGTGCTTGAGATTCATCTTTACGATCTTCTTCATCTAGGCACTATCCTGGTCGTTTGCTGGTTTTCATAAAACCGAACAGTTGCGTATGGTTCATCGCACCCTTGTACATTACATGCAGCAGCCCATGGAAACTGTGTTCCCCAAAACAAAGGGCCCTAAGTGTTCCAAAGAGGAAAAAAAGTTACTTCAGAAAGCTGCGGCTCGTTCAAGAAAGCAAGAGAGGAAACGTTCTCTTGAAGACTTTTTGCACTATGAAAGCATAGACATAAGCGACTATTACTTCGAAAATGGTCTGCGGAAGGTAAAGTTTATTCGATCCTTTTGGGTCTACTCCTTTTTAGGTTTTTCCGTATCATTTTATGTTCAAGGCTTACGTAAAACGTCGGTGGATTGACCGCTCCATCCACGAGGTCCTTTTGGATGAATTCAATTTCCCTTTTCCAGATATCATAGTGAGTATTATTTGTAATGTTCCGGCCATTTAGAGAAGCATGCAAGATGCGATTCTGGTGACCTGCGGGTAAATGATGAGCGCATTTCACCAGACTATTTGCTCCGCGATTCTGATATGATATCACATAAGGTGCATCGACATGAAATGCCTGTATTGGGTTGGTCGAACCAACTGTTCTAATGCTTATACCACGCACTGACCAGATTCGCCAATTGATTTTATTCACGAGGATGATGACTTACTGGTAATAAACAAACCAGCGTCTATTCCTGTCCATCCGTGCGGTCAGTACACCCTCAACAGTCTAACGCACATCCTGGCGAAGCAATATGACCGTCGACCTTTGAGGTTTACTCATCGATTAGACAGGTGAGCGCACTTTCGATTTTGGAATGGCTTCCCGTGCACTCCTTGTTTTGAAAATGCCTTAATTGGAGTCCAAGACACAATTAGAGCGAATCCGTGTGTTTGGACGTAATGGCTGGTGGTTGATCAGATAACCGTTGATCTATTCGCCGAGCTTAGCAATTGGCTTGCAAGCGTTCCGTCCCCAGTCGAGGAGACATCGTCAGTGGGTGGTTGAGTGGGTGGACATAACTGCGGGTTGAACGTTCACACAGAGGTAACGCCTTTAGGGTTTGGTAGAAAACTCTGTACAAAAGATGCACTGGTCGGATATATTCGTCTGAGGCAGGTGAGCGAATCTACATCCCTCAGTGTTTCCTTGAGATTGTTGAGGGGGAAAATGCACTCACACTTCTTACGCATTTATTGTGACTTTGTGCAGATGTATGCTCCTTGACTTGTGTATTCGGCTAGACTTTATATGCATCTACAGACGCCTCCTGACGTAGCTTTTTTCTACGTACAGCGACGCGATGCGCCGCATCGTCTGTCTGGGAGTTCCCTAGACGGAAGGTACACATATCTGGTGGCGGAAAGTGCAGCACTTCCAGTTTTTTATTACTTCAAGTACCTCACACATTATCGGTACTTGAGACGTAACTTTAAATCAAGCATCTTCGCCATTTGCCAACAAACCATTCCCATAGCGGATTACACCAGTGGTACTCTCAAGCAAAATATTCCAATAGTACAACAACTTGGGTTTTATCCGTTTGTTGCCGGGACAGAAGCCACTTCTGGTTGTCGCACCGTCGAATTACCCTTGTTATTGGGATCGCACTCCCAAGCACTATTTCGTGCCCTGCGTATTCACTTCCGAGTCTCTGTAAGTACCAATGTTTTCTTATCTTTGTTGAAATTTGGCGGTGCGTCGGAATCGGTCGACTCACTCCTTTTAGGTAATCGGCATGGCCCGATCAATCTACTCTTCTTACAATGTCATCGATAGGACTTCCAGTCCATTGGAGGATGGGAAAGAAAAATCAAATTTAATTTTCAGTTTTGCCCACAACTGCTCAGAGTGGTGACTGGAACAGCTTTTGGTGTGCTTCATTCACCTACAGTAGAACTGCTGATACATAACGTAACCCAAGGTTTCAGTAAATACGTCTACTCTATTCCGTATGGCTTGATCCATTGGGTACACCCCGCATTCCTGCTGCTTTCTGGCTAGTGATAACCTTAAGTCGCACGTCATGCAAACACAAAGAGAAACCTGCAAGTGACCCTAACCTTGAAACTAAAGAAAGGATGGACTGGACTATAGGCTTGGTAAGATTGTCCTTATAGGTAACAGGAACCAGAGCTCGTCACATTGAACGAAAAAGCCTCATCAGCCGAATATCTTGTGAGTAAAATAAAAAAATCGCTCAGCTGTAGCACCCTTGCGGTGCCTGGCTGCCATGCTACACGAAAGAAGCACGAGGGCTGGGATACTTCCAGGTTGCCCAAGCCTAGACAGGGGAAGTCAAGAGGCAGAGGTCGGGTTCGAACCGCGGGGTGTAACAGCTGCCTCGCAGTTCCAGTTGGTTCTTCACCTCTGTTTGCTTTAGTACAATCAATAAGTCTATGTACAGTGTTGTTTTCCTCTTTTTTGCCTCTGGCAAGGACCAAGCTCACACAGCCCATGCCACCAAGCATATTTTTATGTCGCAATTTTTTCGGACCCGGGTAGTATGTGAGGGTACAGCTTTTTATTGCTGTTTTTACGACTCTGACCATTTGTAAATGTTGACTACCTTATTTCGAAATCTTGGCTTATCGCAACTTTGCATATCGCCACACAACACACTTTTGAAGCCGACTAAAACAAAGTAACGGTAATTTGGACAATGGAGACGCTATCATGATTGCCCTAATAATCTACCTTTATATCAGGATGACCTCGGGATTGATGATCGTCGCGAAAAACTATGACGCTTCGTTGCGACTTGCCACAGAAATTGGTGCACGAGAAGTGAAAAAGGTAAGCCTGTTTCATGGGGTCAAACGACCGGAGTCTGGTGTGATCTTGCTTCACAAATATGAAAAATTCACGTGTGAATTTGGTGAATTTGTTCAAACTACTGGTCAGTAATCCACAGGCAGAGAAAGAAAGATTGTCTGCTGTAGGTCTTTTTTCTGGATTGTGTGTACTCCTAGTTTGCGGAACTGTTCGCACGATTTCCTTTCGAAAATGGTTATTTTAGAGGGGTGTATTCACATAATTACACCAACAGATTCGGTACGCTGTTTATGGCCTGACCGTCGGGCTACGCAAGTCATCGGTACCCATTTGAAATGTGTCTATCTCCCTGTTGCGACCGAATTCACTTGTTTTTGAAGTCCTAGTAGAGAAGGAGTGCCGTACACGCCTGATCTGTTTACCCACAGTGTCGGGTTAGGTTGAAGGTTCCTCAACCCCTTTGGTGAGCCATCTGCTACTAGCATGTCTATTCCGACTCTTCTCTAAATTGTCACAGGATGTTTACCCATGATCTTGAACGTACCTTCAGTTGTTGACGTTTGATCTTTTACTTATTCCTGCTTGTTCGTCCTTAGATGTTCGTCCGTAGATGCTGGTGTCTATGTCTACTTTTTGTCCGTGTCTACATCACGCCAGGTACACTGCCTGACAGTGCCAACCCTAGTTCGTGTCTTTTCTCTCTAACCGTCTGTATGGACCAACTGTATTAACTAAGCAATCATGTCTCCCCGTGGCAGCGTCTGCCTCCGTGGTGCGTGCACCGGTTGTCCTTTGTTCCGGCTCGTGAGTGGTGGATTCTCCCACCTCGCTACTTGTTGTACAGTTGCTCTTTTTCAGCAGAGGTCTGAAATCCCGAAGTCTGTTGTTTGCCTTTGTTAATTCGTATTTAACGGTGCCGTGTTGAGCAGGTTATCCCAACTATTTTGTTGTATCGGGATCGTTCGGAACGCGTGTCACTCAACATCCAGATGGGGGATGTTGCACCCACCTTCATATTTTACTGACGCTTATTCTTGGTCTTCTTCAGACCATGATGTCCATCATTTGTAGAAACAGTTACTGTGTCTGGCTGTTCACTTGATTTGTAGAATTTTGTTTTCCTCCCGCTAGTATTACATTTGTCGAGCAGATGGTCACTTTCCGGATGAGGTGGAGGATACTCCCAATACGTTACCGCAAGGAGTAATTGCCTGCACCCAGCCCCTGGGACCTATCTGCTCTAAGATGGGCTTGCACGCTGTGGTGCCCGAGTCGAGCGGCGGCAAACCGGCCTGTACACATTTCAAGAGGTTGCTCTACGATTCAAACACCAACACGAGTCTGGTGGTCTGCCGTCTATTCACTGGACGGACCCACCAAATACGGATCCATCTGCAATATTTGGGTGAGTCTACTTGTTTGTGTTATAAAGGAGTTGACGCAGTGCGGTTGAGTTTTCGGCATGAATCCACTGGACATGTAGTGAACAGCGTGATCTCATGTATCACCTGGAGGAAAAGCTTTTGGTGCGTCTATAGTCTATACTCAGCATCGAACAAAGCTTATATACGACCGTAAAAGTGAACCTTGAACTTCATGACGTCGAGTTGTGTTCCACCACCATTGTGGTTTAATTTCGTGGGGGTGGGTGGGCGTTTTCATGTCTATCAAACAGCCGAGTCAACTATTTTCTTTAAAGTAGAAGCACATTGGAAGCGTAAGCAATCAGATCGGGCCCATCATTTAGGACTACGCTTTTCATAGACAGGTGGACATGAAAAGACAAGTGATACAAGAATATTTAAATCTCCAAGTCGAACGTCACAACAGACCGACTGTATACGCCACACGAAATAGACCAGTCAGCGCCATACCATCAAATAAAAGCTACCGTAAAGGTAGATTCGCAAATTGATCTCTAACTCCAACCTGGTGGTTCCTAATACAGATGAGAGATCTCTTGTGGCTAGAATACAGCCTAACCTGGAACCCGGATGCGAAGGAAAAACCCAGTCCACTATGGGCTTTCATGGGTCATTACAGACTGACGAACGGTTCACAGACGAAAAACGATGACAACGGCATAGTGCCATACTTCTACGCGTCAGTTTGGGATGATATTGGCGTCTGCCACAGGTGGTGCAGCTTACAGGTTTAATGGAAAAATACAGTTCTTGAATAACACAGTTATCTTTGTAAAGTATGGCTCATAGTTCTACTTAGCAACAAAATAATCGTTCAGCTGTAACATCTTTTCGCTGCCTAGCTGCCATGTCACCCGAAGGGAGCACGACGGTTGGGATACTGCCAGGTTGCCCAAGCCTAGACGGGGGAAGTGGAGGGGCGGAGGTCGTGTTCGAACCACGGACCTTCCGGTCAGTAAATTCGCGCTCTGACCACTTGAGCCATCTCACCTTCCCCTCTTCGTCTACTTGGCCTCTACCTTTTAAACCGAGCAGCTTAGCAACATGAAAATGCGTAGTTTGTGAAACGTCATTAGGTTTACCTGTTTTACCTGATTTTCCGCCCCAATTCAACCACAACATTTGTCATCCAGGGCTGTGTTTCTCTGATTTGTGGTGGAATTTCATTTTTTGCGCACAGAACCCTTCAAGCCTCTTGTTGCTTGCTAGGAACGCTAGACGGGATTTAACCTATTTTAAACTATGTCATAGGACATCACGTCCTTTATCATCAGTAATGGAAACCGCTGTTGCGTACAAAATTTTAGCCTTCAAAAGCACACTTCTCACCATGAACCCATCCGTGATATAAAAGAGCCTGTTTCAACTGTATTCAAGATTAGTTATTGCATTTCACGTGTCTGAATGATTTACTGTCCGTCCCAGTGGGCATTTCTCAAGGTGTGGCCTTGGCACGTCACTGGCTGAATCTACCAGCATCGCGGTTGTCAAGTCCACCTCAGTAGCAGTAACCCGCAACATGAAGTTTCAGTTCCGCACGTTCGGAGTTGGCACTGCCCGTAACTTTGGAGAACAGCAATCGTGGTTAACTCTAGATATTCTTGAGGGTGGGGTACTTCAAAGACGAGTGACATTTATAGCGTTTCACAAGGAATCAATTCAAACTATGCACATCCAGCTAGTTTTACTGTTCAAAGATGTGATTTCCGAACCCGGAATGCTTCATAATGGGAGATGTGGGGAATCGTTATGGGGCATTAGTCGAAGAGGTAGCGTGCTAACCACTTCGCCTGTTGCACTCTTCTCTACCCTTTCTGTTTTGTTTTTAGGCTACCCCATAACCGACGACCCGCTCTATAACTCTTCTGACTGGGGAGATAAGAAAGGAAAGGGTGCCCAGTATGGTATACCAGTAGATGAAGTCATTCGAAAGATATCCACTCATCGAAGCAAAGATTCATACTTGGATTTCGTGCACGTAAGTTGAATTCCCGCTTCACTTATCTCAGCTGATTTTGTCCCCATTTTGCTGCTTACTTAAAAGACTCGAGTAACTGAAGCCAACAGCGTGATGTAAAGGGTGCAGTATTCGTCTTGTCTGACGCGCTTTCCTCCTGCCACCGTTTGTTAATCCGACCGTTTGGCTATTTGCCCAGCCTGTTCATTTACCATTCCAAACCCGCGAGCTGTCGTAGTGACAACGGTCTTTTCGATACTACTGAATTCACCGTTTTTAGTTTGAAGTCGTAGTAGTAGGAGTGCCTTGTCTATGTACTCAACGTTCATGCGCCGTAGCTATCCGCAGAGGGCACAAGTGGTCACACGCACAGCGTTCAAGATTTCTTTGTCATTTAGGGAGACTGGCGAAGTAGGCCTTACATTGTTCAGTCTTGTCCCGAGTGAACACGCCACGGTTAGTCGTTGAGTACTTTAGAGTGAAGAATGGGAGCTGTGGCTCAGCACGTGATCTGGACTGCCGATTCCTTCGGTCAGTGCCTGTGTTTGCTCTGCCCAAAACTACGTTTTTTGATGGCACGTAAAGGGATGAAGGAGTTTACGAAGGTGTGAGTGTGATCTACTTTTAAAAGTGAAACCACTTGTTCCTGCATCTGACTAACTAGGAGTACTCTATGGTTTGATTTCGAACCGATGTAGTTGGCGCTTCAAACCAGTGTTTAATTCCAATACTAATACCAGTACTGATAATCGTTTTGCTGTAGCATCCTTTCGGTGCCTAACTTCCATGCCACCCGAAGGAAGCATGAGGGCTGAGGTGTCGTCACGTTGCCCTATCCTAGACAGGAGCAGTCGAGATGCTGGGGTTGGATTCAAACCACAAGAGTTGCTGTTACTGATAAATCGTCAGTGATGATGACTGCGATATTTCAATCTGGATTTTCTAACAGTTTATCTTATTGCCATTTTTCGTCTGAAGACTGTCCTCTATCTCCATTCGCGTTTTCGCACATTTTCTGCCTCAGGGCACCGAATCCAACATTTCCGGCTTTGACAAATTCCGCGACCATCTTAATAGTACCCGTTCGGCTCTTGACAAGGAGGTTCGGGATCGCCTCTTGCAGTCCTTCGACTCCACTTGTCCGGAGTGCAACCGGTTCTACAAAGATCCCGATATGAAAAGTTTGGTCTTACAATTACACGCCTACCGTTATGAAGGTGCAGAATGGAGTTACACGGCTTCTTTACCCTCCTGGGCGACTCGTCTGGCTTCGCATACGAGTGATTTTCCCGCTTTGATTCAGTCGTGTATTTCTGCACTTGGTTAACTTCTTTGTTGATCACTCGGTAGAACCCTGTACAGTTGTCCTTTTTTTGATCCCAAACATACTCTCGCGCACTTGTCGCTTTTGAACTGATGCTGCTGATAAGGCGAATAGTTTATGTGGTTCACTTCACTGCATCGGTGATAACTCACCACACCTATTACTGAAGGGGTCAGTCTCACCAGTCATCTGTCTACCGGGAGTTTGCCATGCACAGTGACACAACCGAGTACTCACTCCTTCATTACTCAGGTCACCGATCTGCAACTTTCGCGAGTTCTCTGGAATTGAACAAATTAACGGTTTCAGAGTGCGTCAGCCCATCCATAGTCAGCAGGCAAGCCGAGGACGAAACAAGTGCAAGGGGTCCGCACCAAGGTGTGAACTCAGTTCACCGTCCCCGCTCATAATGAGCTACTGCCGATATTCTTACCGTACCTGACTGGGAACCCTACAAGACATGAAGTGGCAGCTGTTAACCAGACTACACACGTAGATTTTGCCTATCGCTTGTTTGTCGGGTTTCATGTTTGACGGCGAGAAACTCAGAGTAACTGTAAGCACCAACAGTTCTCTGCTGATGTAGCATACCGTTGACGATTAGCCAAAAATCTGAGAATATTTTTTCAAAGAATTACCCGGCTGAAGTGGATCGAAGCTGGAATGCAGGAAAAACCACCAACCCAATTCCCCCTGGTTATCATAGCCCCATCTCGGTACAGTCCCATAAAGTTCGGTACAAATCGCACAATCATTTAGGTGTGGTCTCACAGTTCTCGATAAAATAGCATTGAACAAATTTCAGGACATCGCGTGCCATTTGGGTGTAAAGTGCTAATAAAGGCCACGGGTTTGGATAGCCACGCGCTACTGGGCCTGAATCACGGCATTGCGTGATTTTCAACTAAGCCGATACCCGATGGTTTGGAGTGACGCCCATCGTATGGATACCCTTTGAAGCAGACGAATGAATCAGTTTACTACCTAGGGGATGGTGCGCCTCATTTCCTGTTACACTGCATACCTTGCGAGGACGGTTAGAACGTGTTCGTGCGCAGAGCTTGTCCTGAATGTCGCCTGCCTCATATCACTGATAAGCCTAGTGAGGCTATGTGCTCGAGTTTGTCAAACGCCGCACCTTTAAATACCACAAGCCCTTATAGTGGTCAGTGTTTAGTCGATCCGATCCGGTTCTGCGGTTTTCTGTAGAGATCTTACCTTGAAATGTCACAACTCCTCATCTCATATCTACTCACTTCGTGGAACGCGTTTCAATAATTACTGCTGTGGCTGGACTCTCAGTTCTTGCATCATTTCTCACTTATTCTCCGATACACTGGGTGTAAAATGCATTGAAGTGTATCACATGTTCTCACCTCTTATCATTGTTTTTTCCGAGACTAAAACTCTCACTTGTTATATGATCTAACCCGGATATACCATCTGAGCTATTTAGACGACACTTATCACAGATCAAGTAAACGGGTCATTTTACGGCATCGTCTCCCCATGATTTCGCTCTATCAACTGTGTATGATTATCTCGTTCGGCGGCCGAATGGTTCTCAATCGTATCACTGGTGTTGAGCTACTTGTCTTCTGCAGTCTGTATAAGATCATAAACTGTTTGGATCAATATGAGATTGTACCTTGGCCATTAGGTGAACTAATTAAACCATGTAGTTGAACATTTCTGTAGTCGAATCCATGGTAAGATTGCGACTCCATTTATAGTACTGTTGATCATCGTGTCGTAGCTCCTTAAACGTTGGCATTTTTGTTTGGGGTGCATCATATAACGAACTTGAGTATACGTGAATGATAGAAGCCTGTACCACCATCAGCGATCCGCTCGACAACTCACCATTTGTTTGAAAGAATCTCGCTAAATTTCCCAACCAAAAATATACCACTTGTATGGTCCCATTTCACACGTCACGCAATATTACTGGTGGTTGTGATTTTTTCAAAGAAAGCGAATGGTAAACTATCATCATCATCACTGTCAGCAGTGGTTGTAGCTGCCACAGTTTCGTTCACTGATGATTCGGGGGGGTGGGGTAGGTAGCTGCGCATTGGAGGCGGGAGATGATAAATTAGTGCCTAAATACAGCACTGTAGGTGGACTGTTAAATAAGGGGATAGGGAAGGGGCTATGCATTGAAGGTAATATCTTGGATGCATGTGCGCCATTGAGAGCCATGTCTGACAATGTCTCTAACCATTGATATGGCCCGTCTCGGGGTCCCCATCCAGGAAGACGGCAATGACCAGCGCAGCTGAGTTTTCTGGTAATGGCTTTTATAATTCGTTGCAAAGTCATTGTTTGACCGCCTCTGGCTCGCTTCCACCCTTCACGTGGTTCTGTAAAAAGAGCCCTTCGAGGAATTCCGTCGACTGACATACGTAGCACGTGGCCGAGCCAGCGCGACCGATACAGTGTGGTCAGTTCATCTATCGAGGGTGAGTTATTTTTCCTGAATACCATTCGACGAACTTCAGTATTGCTAATCCGGTGTTCCCACCAGATATGGGCAATGCTCCGAAGACATCGATGGTCAAACACTGAAAGTCTTTTGACGTCCTCGGCGCGCAGCGGTCAGGTTTCTGATCCATATAGTAATATGTAGCGCACCGCAGCATTGTAAACTCGACCCTTGACAGAGAAGCTGATGTCACGCCTACGCCACATGTGACGTAGGTTCGCAAAAGCCACTCTGACCTTCCCAATCCGGATGGAAATTTCCTCTTTCGGCCCAATCTTGCAGTAGCAGCATCCCACTATTTAGGTAGCTGACGCCCGAATGTTGAGGAGTCTAATAGTACTTCGTACTATGCACTTTACTGCACTTTATTGGTCAAGGAATCGAATAGTCCGTAAGATTGGATTGTCCTTTGACCAAAAAGTCATCTCGCTTTAAATGCTTGTACTGCCTATTGCTCAGGCAGGCTGGCATTTAGCTTCTTCGGTATTCCACCCGGTGAGTTTTCCTGTCCTGAATAACACCAGTTTAGCTACTGGGGAATGAAAGGGAATATTTCTATCATTCACACTGATTGGTACGGGAGGTTAACTTCCCCGGCGTCAAGGAAGCTTTCCGCTGGAAATCAATGGGCCAGTTGGCCAGTGCACTACCGTTAAATTTTGCCAGAGCAAGCCGTTGACTGCTATGTTCGAACTACGATAACCCTCATTCTTAACAACTTGGAGCCGGACATGGGTCCATTAAATAAGTCTGGAACAGAAGTGACTGTTCCATGTACATATGGGGGCGAGATGGCCCAAGTCGTTAGAGCGCGAATTTACTGACCGGAAGGTCCGTGGTTCGAATCCGACCTCTGCTTCTCGACTTCCCCTGTCTAGGCTTCGGCAACCTGACAGTATCCCAGCTCTTGAGCTTCCTTTGGGTGGCAAGAGTGCTACAGCTAAACAATCACGATCACTCATAGTCGGCTAAAGCTCTCCCAGCGTCAGTAAAAAACCAAATACGGACAAAATATTTTTCTGTATACGATGGCTGTTGTCACGTGTATACAGCTGCTCATCTCGCTGTATTAGCACGTGAATACTATGGTTAGGGAAGGGCTATTTGACAATGGAATGCTCGTTCGTGGTTTTAGAGTTCAGTGATTTTGCAGAATAGACGAGGGTGGATGGATACATACAGATAAGTGGTGTCAGGTGAGAAAGCGCAGTGGATGGTTTCAGCTTGGCGGCGCATTATTAGGCCACGACTTAGCAAATGCGTGACCTGAAACTACTGAAGCTGGGCCACCAGACCAAGGGGATGTGTAGACACAGTCGGAACCAAAATAAGGTACCACATGCAACCAGTAGCAGAACAAAGGCAGGGCGAATAAAAGTAGTAGTGTCAATAGGATAATCAGGGAAAAGTTCTGTAATCGGGGAGGAATAAAGCGAAAACGGTGGACGTTTTTGCTGCTTGTGAGCTGCAAACGAAAGAATTTATCTTCCATTGGTTGGACATAGTAACCGGGTGGCTCGGGAATAGATTCTCCAAACGACCGTGTGAAATTTGGAGAATGGTTGAAATTAGTATCATACTGACCTGGTTGATGAGGATCGAACCTATTTTCTGATATAACTGTCCTTGAGAAAGTTGCTAAAAGTTCAACAGATCTACGAAAAATCGCCGTGGACTTGATAAATTGTATCAGTGGCAGGAATCTGGGTTGTTGCACTTTCTCTGGATCGTTGATAGATTGAGTTGATGGTACAAGACTGTGGACGGGTTCACTTGGTTCAAAAGTAGCCGGGGCACAGACATCTGATGACTCTTTCAAGGTGCTCAAAGTACTACATTGTTCTTCATCATCTGGTTTATCTACCACTTGTTCATTTCTGAAGTCGTCCAGGCTAACTGGTTCACGTGACATGCCCGAAGGAACCAGTCTAGTCGTTGGTATTGGTTCTATTCGGAGTAGGGGTGTTGAATGTCGACTGTAGATGTTTTGTCCCCGACTCATCCCGCGTAGAGTGTGATCGGACCGAGCCAGACTGCGCGTTGGTGTCAGTTCGGAAGCCCAGGACGTGTCGGTGGCTTGTTCGAGACTAGAAGTGAAGAAAAGATTGCTCACATGTGTAAAACAGAACTAACTGCATGTGATACTCAGTCCTTTGTGTGAGATGTGTGGAAACAAAACAAAGGGAATGAGGACGGCGGCTGGGCAGTTGGTGAGCTGACATGTAAAAGGTGAGCACAACAATGGAGAGATATGATGGAGCAATGCGATGTTCATAGCTAGATGAAGGGTATTCAGGAGGGCCTACAACTGGGGAAGTGGCATGGGTTTTCCTAAAACGTGAGTACCATTTGAGGAAAGTGCCTCGTGCGATTTGCATGTTTATCTGAAGTCTCAAGAGGCAGTCACTTTAAAGCAAGTAACTAAGTAAACGTAGCTGGTTGCGCTGGGCAGTCATTGTGAGTGTTTCATCACCAAATGAGGTGACATCAATAGTGCGTCACCGGACGCAGTAAACTGAGAGGATAGCCAAAGCGCTCATCTTCATTTACAACAACCGCACCACAAAACGACACCAAGTTATTCACGTGTCCTGAACTGAACTGAATAGAATGAAATGGGGACGTGTTAGCCTATCACTGTTGACAGCCTAACCACTGCCCACCCTGCGCTACACCCCCCACTGAAACTTTTGATTCATGAGTTGAAATTCATAGTATAGCAGCTGGCTTCTTACGCCCCTACACTGAAACTCCAGACCCATGAAGATCAAACAGGTATGCAACCTTTCCAGTTGTGTAATGTCCAAACTAAGTAAGGCGTTTCGAGGCCAAGCTACTAACTGCACGTGGTAACGGTACCGATTTCAGTGAACATTATAGGGAAGACGGAATTTCAGGACGAGCCAAAAAACCTGAAGACGAGGCTAGAGGTAAAACTGGTTCAAATGGATCCGGAGACATTGCACCGAAAGAGTGCCACCGCTGAGTAATAATTGTTTTTTCTATTCCTTCTTGCTTTACTACTGTCTATTTCACAAAAAGTGCAGTCACGAATACTTTGTGCTTGTGTGAGCATGCAAACTGTCAGTGCTTCCCACAATCAATTGCCCTACTTCCCTTAGGAACCTCAAGATGTCAGTCATTTGGGACGGAAGAAAAATGACCACATTTACGCATCTTGGGAAACTCGTCGTATTGAATTCGGTGTTCAACTGAAGAGTAATCGTCCAAATATTCGAGGTATCACCACTGAAATTAGGCTAGTTGACAGCTGCACCGTTCAGGAGAGTAGACAAGGTGTGATTGGAATTGATAGAAACATTTCGCTCACGCACGCATGCAGTACATACAGCCGGGTGATCGCACTTAAAATGTTACACCCTGTCGACACCGATAAAGCAGAATGAAGGGTGTGAATTGCGAACACCGAAAACAAAAACAACCATGATAACTGAAAGAAATGGGCGGATGAACAGAAACAACAGGGAAAGCGCAACACGAAAGCGTTGACAGGAAAACGATCATGAACGAGAGAGAGAGAGATGATTTCACACAATTACTTGATCAGATCTTCCGACGCGTCGGAGACGGGTGAAACACTAGACCTAGATGTGACGGAAACCTGGGCAGAAAAAGGACGGATGGCATGGGTGACGACAGACAGAAAACCAACTGGCTTCAATAAGAAATTTGTGAATTGAGCTCTTGCTCCATTGAGGGAGAATCATCAACATCAATCAGCATTGCCGGAGACCAACACCAATGTGATCCAAATGAAGCGTTTAACTGCCACTTGCTCATAGCCATCAGGTGTTGAGCGTTTGCGACTGATGAAAATGAATGAAATGTAAGCATCCCGTCTACCTACCGTTCTGCTCGAATAGTATTAAGGGCACACAATGGCCTATTCCATCCAGGAGAGTGTATCGTGCTAAATCAGCGTTAATGCAGTTAATGCAGGTCTTACTGTTGACCTGCACACTTTATTGGCGTAACCGTGCCACCCAACGGGTACGCACCACATTAACTGGAAGGACCAGAATATACGTGTTAGTTCAAGGGTGGAAGCCAAGCAGAGTTTTTAGAGCAAATACTCTATTCTCAAAACAGACTGTCCACGACCCGGCTGGGGTCGTCCACGGGAATAGGCTAATCATGTATTGTTTCTTCAGAAACATACCGACTACCAACAGATGAATGCGAAGTTATTGGATTTTTGGGCAGCAAGCAGTCCACCAGCTCCCTTAGCATAAGCTCGCCCCTGATGCAACCACACAACCTCGTTTGACTGAAGCGTTTTGGCTTCGCATTCTTTAAACGTGGCGGTTTCGTATAAGTGGATGTGACAATTCAGGTGCGGCCAGCATGTGCTCTTGTGTCTGGGGTCAAAATCTCGCAAGGGTATCCACTGTTGATGAGCTCTAATAAGAGTGAAACTCCAGTCCAGGGTTTCCCCTCTTTGGTATGAACTCACTGGGATAGCTAGATCAGAACACGAGGGTGTGACGTGAATGGAAAATCCACGAATCCCGCAACCGCCTACAACGAATGAAATTCCATTCATGCACTTCTGGCTAGTGTCTAATAACCTTGCTGCATCCAAGCATTTGGTGTGGCCGCTTCAACTACAATTATCTTGTCTACTTACCAGATGACTCCCATACTCAAGCATACAAACCTGCCGAACTAACGAACGTCCGGTAACAAATGAGAGGGACGAATCATACAGGTAACATGAAGCTATAGTACTTACCAGTTCTTCGATATTATCATCTGTATCCGAGGTCATCATTGAGTCGGGATCCTGAGGAGAAGAAGTATAGAAAAACCGTAGACAAAAACAGTGCCGGTAATTTACGCCTGCAGGTCAGAAGCGTATCATCAACTTTGATTGCAATCGTAGTGTTGAACACCAGTGTCTTCCTGCTACGCAACAGTGACGATATATTTTAAAGCATCATTGTGGAAGAATAAGGAGAAAGAACCAGGAGCTAGGCATATTGAGGCTCGTACACCACCATACGGTATTCTGGACAGTGAAAATAAGAGTAGGCCTATTGATAAAGGCTCGCAGAAATACATCGCAGTTTCTAGTCAAACGCAGAGAAGGCCACGTCGATTCTGCAAACGATAATCAGGGTTTTCCTACTCTCCTCTATCTCCGTCTGTTCACCGTTCTGTTTACCCGTTCTCGTCTATGGGAGGAAACAGCGACTCGGTATGTGTACCACAAAAGTATACCATCCGAGCTGGTAGTGATGGCCTTCTGTTGAAGTAATTGAGGCTACACGGACACTCTTTTCCTAATCGTCCAGCTGCCATCTTGTAGCAACTATAATCCCATGATTTCGATGGCCCATGGCGGGTACTTATGTGCTAGGAAACGTTTGCTGATGACGAACCCGAAAGGCATCTGCTCCGGGAAAAAAAATGCAACTTACACCTCTGTGAAACAGTTGGGTGGAGCCAGCCGTGCTGACATATCGATGACGAACTTCGCTGGCCAAAGGTCGTTCAAACGAGGTATCGAGCGAATCACAACCAGTCCGTCGAGGGGTAGAAAATACTGTTGGTGTTAGCTCTTGTTCTCGTTCTTTGTTTCTACCAACCCCGAGATGCTGCCGACAACGGACACTCCATTGGGCGAGGAGACGTTCAGCGTCATCCAGCAAACCGCCAAAACACGATCGTAAACAGACCAGTTGCGATCCTATCATCTCATCCGTTTGAGGCAAAGGGTTTAGGGCAGCAATAGCTGGCAGCACTTCTAGTGTTTCGGGAGTAAGCAGTAGCAAGTTGAAATGTGCAAGCCACTCGGATAAGCGAAACCGAATGACCCGGAGAAGTCGAACGGTTGTTGGAACATGGGGTAGACCTTCTTCGCGTCGGTTGAACTTGTTCCGTATGTGCTCCCGTTCATGATCAAATCCCCGTGCCAAAGAAGTCGTCGAAGTTGAACTATATCGAGTAGGGTGCACGCTGAGTTCAGTCTCCTTCATGTGCTGTTGAAACTCGGAGATCAACTGCTCAAGACCCTTGGATGTAGCAAAAGCCTGGGTAGGTACATAATGTAAGAAACGAGCAGTAAGATACGTATCAGAACAATGGGGGTTGAAGACAGGCCACAATCTGCTTGAAATGTCGTGCTGATTACTCATCAAGATAATAGTAGGATGGTCCGGATGGTCTAGAACATTTACTCAGTCGGTCTGCATAGCTCGACAACTCATACATTCTAACGCTTTTCAGACTACCCCGACAACTGGTTTCATTAGGTATCGACCCTAATGAGAACCACCCAACTACAGTAGGAAGGGGCAGGGTCTTCTCTAGAACACCAAAGAGTTACGTGTCCGATGCGTCTGTACCTACCTAATGAATCACAAGAACGATGGAAGGACTCATGTGGCCGAGCTTTTGGGATCGGACCACACAAAATAATATAACGCCCTTTGGGTGCCTAGCTGCCATGCCACCCGAAGGGAGCATGAGGTTGCCTAAGCCTAGACAAGGACAGTCGAGATGTAGAGGTTGGGTACTAACTGACCTTCCGGTCAGTAAGTTCGCACCTTAACGACTAAGCTATCTCGAGTTGAGATCCGTTCACATCATTCCTAATCACGATCGATTTCTGTCTATTTACCACGTTGCCAAAACGGTCACTAATCTAAGTGCAGGGCTTCCACATGAACAAAGGTTTTATGGCACGGATTTTTCGCGAAGCATAACATAGAAACAACCCCCAAAAACATAGGAAATACTTTTAACAATTGGTGTTTCATGGTCAGTCTGGAGATAAAGAGTGCCGACGTGGTTCGACAACGCAGTCTTGGCACTTCAAAACTATCCGAACAAGTTGCCGAACTAGCCGGCAACACTGCTCGCAATGATTCGGTCGTAAGGCAGTCGATGAATTGGTGGGGGAAAACCCTCTATAGAATCCCTGCCTCCCTGGAGGCCAACGTGGTTCAGTGCGGCTAAATCGTCGAAAACGTTGGACGGCAATCTATTTACCGTATCCATTACTGAAAACGAAACTGCGTTGCTGTTCACACCAATCTCGCTGCTGCGTGCGCCTTTATGGACTTTTCCATGCTTCTGTTAGAACCAGTTGCAGCAAAGTAGAGCGAATAACGAATGCATTCCGGTTCCCGAAATGTCTGTTTTACACCCCCAGGAAAAAGGGGACAGAGGCGATGTTCTTTGCCATCTGTGGACTGTCAAGTTCAACGGTTGTCGTCGCTAGCACTGCACATCAATGGAAGCTTCATGTCATGGCTTGATTGGTGGTTTAACATGGGCTGTGTACAACAGCTTTATTGGAAAATATGACATGGTTCCATCACACACCGGAAGATGGAATGAAGTGATGTGTGGCACCCCCATGTTTATTGAGTTCGAACTTTCGAAAACTGCATATTTGGACGTACTTTAGAGGTGACCTTGGTTCTGAGCAACGAACAGACTTTTTCTTGTGGTCGACATGCACAATCACACGGTCGTGTCAGAGAAGCCGTTAAATGGGAAGAATATCTAGGAAAACGACTATAATGGAGTATATTATTCTTATGCACCGGTTTAGTTAGAGGCCTATCTGGTTGGGTAGTTGTGCCAGCTGTTATCTGGGGAAACTACTTCTGGGACCGATCAAAAGCGGTTTGTTCGCGGGGATAACCGCACAGAAATACTCGTTTGCAGTGACACAGAAGGCAAACAGGAAACCGTCGGGTTCATCACAGATGGAATATTGAATGCGACCCAGGCGATCAAGGCCACTGAAAACACATCATAGCAACTGAATTTTGTGAACCGAGACCTTTACAAAGTGGAAAACACATCTTTTGAGGATTTTTCATCGCCGAAATCCAAACGTGTTGGTCTGTGCCTGCTGAACCCTTGAATTTTACAAGTTCCGGCATGTCCTAAAGCAGAAGAAAACAAATTTCCGTGCCGTTTAGATCAGTAGATGAAATGGAAAATAAGCGTGCCTAGGATGAAAATCTTCAACTCTAAATAACTAACCTTTTGAAGTTCACAAAGCCATGTTCTGGTTGCTTTCAAAGTCCTGGTCCATTCACCGCTGATCAAGGGTTTTTCATCTGCGGCCGATCGGGCGCTATTCAGTGAGCTGAGGGTGTGAACGCGAAAGTTGTATGCTTCCAACTGGCCCAAGAACGTACGCAGCTGATCACAGGAAGCGGAGAGAAATTCCGGTTCATCTACAGTGATTGCAATCAATTCCGTTGCTCGTCGGTTAGCCTGTGCACACAGAGCTCGCAACTGTCGCACGAGTTCTTCCTCGCTTACTTGTGTTGAGATAGTTGAGGTTTGGTGTGACCATTCTCGCCCACCAGTGCGTCTAATAACAGAGCAACAGAAGTTGCTATAGTGATTAGAGATGCAAGTTAATGTGAAAAGCACTTAGCACACAGGTTAAGGCCTGTTTTAAGGATATGAAGAGTGGTAGATGGAGAGGAAGTTGAAAACCGGTGTGATCGACAATTAGCCATCGGTGATTCGAAAGGCGTACAGTTCTATTAAATCAACAACACCATTACTTCATCACCATTCGCTTTCAGATGATATAAGAAAAACGAAGATTAACTCACTCTGATGTGGAGTCTTTGAAGTGCGGTAAACGCTTGGTGCCGGGGCATCGATTGTAATCTGTCGGTTGTAGCTGTTCTGGTTCATAGACAGCAGGTGCCTGAATCTGAATACAACTGTCATTCCCAATATCATCTGAAAAAATCATTTTTAAAGAAGTGACTTGGTGTTGTGAAAATCGACTAAAGAACAAAAACAATTCCACATAAGCTTGAGAGAGGTCCTCTCACAGGTTACCATAGCGTTCGTCTGATCTCACCGTAGCACATACCGAACAAAAGACTTCATTCTTACTTGAATTACACAGAATTTTGAACCAAACTAGTCCATCCGGCTATATTCCTGGTGTGTTGTCGCAAAGTGCGACTCTTCCAGTTCGACAAGATATGTTTGTGGCACAGTAGTCCCCTATGTGACACCCCTAAAAGGAGAGCCACTTCCCAAAGGATTCGCAATAGCGTCAACCGTGATCCGAAAAGAAGCTATCCTCCATTGTTGCTGAATATTCCCCTTCTCCATGATAGTCTCTCTCGAAGAGAGTGCCAATGTTTGTGCAGTAATCCTCCTTCCGCGACTGGCTGTTTCGTTAACTGATGGGGGATTCGATAAATCCAGGTTCGAGGTGGTTTTTTAGGAATGACGTTCCACTAGATAGCCAGGTACGTGAATATTATCTCTAGCACTACATGATAATTGCCCATACATGACAAACGCCATACATCCGATTGCTGTCCCCCACAAAAGGGAGAATCACTCAAACATCTGTTAGATCTCGCATTCACACCCAAATGAATGAACCAAACAACGCCGCGACAGAATTAATTGTGTCTAGGCTTGGGCAACCTGGCACTATCTCAGCCCTCGTGCTTCCATCGGATGGCATGGCAGCTAGGCATTGAAAGGGTGTTACAGCTGAAAGATAGGCCGAAGTTCGTACATTCAGATAAGCCGTGCTACGATGGCTGAACATCCAGCAGTAATATGCAGGGGCGTATTCAGCTGACGAATGCAGTCTGAAGACTAAATCCCCCTTTGTCCGATCATATACACTGCTTGGCAAGGAGTTTATTTTCGCCAACCGAATCAGAGTTGAAGCTCGCTCACGTACGCGGCCAAGCCAATTTCTGTCCATGGCTACAAGTAGTGAATCTGAACTCACCAACTGAACAGTGACCTAAACTATCGTAACTGCTACCCTACATTACTAACTAGGATCCTTGCAAGTTAAACACTTTTGTCAACTTCTGGGAAACAAACCCAGTTGTACCGTGAAACCGCTCAGTCCTAGTACCATTAAGCATTGGGAGTTGTGAGCACAGATTTCAAGCAAAAACACACTAGCATTTTGAGAAAATATGGTGTCACAGCTGCTGATTGGGGCATGACGTGAAGGGACAAAAATGAAAAGTTAAGTAGATTCTGAGTGGTAAACAGGAAAGAAAAACGAACGTTGGACTTACCACAGCAGAGCGATTGAGTTTCTTCTTCTTCGAACAATTCATGATCTGGTAGATATTCATCCAAGGAATGATGTTGTCTCATCGATTCAAAGGGCCATGAATTTTCTGCCGGCGACAAAACGGTGCAGACAGGCTGTTCCGAAAGATAACACGTGTGGGAAAGAGACATTGTCGGCTCAAATGTTTGAATTGTGCAGTAATATTGGGCACGATAAATAAGGTAGTATATGGCAGTGGATGAAAGTCCTAGAAAGTGAAACGGGTCGAAGCAAATTTCAAAAGAACTATGTTCTTCGCAAACAAGTTGTTGTCTTGTTTCATATACGAATGATTTTCTGTTATTCTTTTCGACAGAATCAAATTCCAAGCTATCGCATGTTACCACTGTTCGTTCGTTCAACGGAACAAGGGTGCTAGGGGTGTTCTTTACTCGCGAACGGACGGTGGGTTTGGGGTAAAGTTCCGAGGATGGTGCTCCATCGCCTTCACTCTCTACTCGGTGCTCAGTAAACTCAAGGCCGTCGGTAATGTGACTCCATAGATCCACTTTGCTGTCCATTGTGCTACTGGGTTCATCACCCTTGGTGTTGAAGGGTTCCGTTAGCGGCGGCTGATATCGTTTTCGTGGCTTTGGTGTGTGTGAAGGGAGAACACCAGACGGCTCAGAGGAAATCAGTACTGAAGGGTAATCGATTAGTAAATTCGGACGGCTACTGCTTCGGCTTCGAGAAGAAATGATTGCTTGTGTAAATACACGCCTAGGAGAGATAGGAGGTTTCATAGCCCAACTCAAAGATTCAAAATAACCTAGTGGTTCACTTTTTTGGGGTTCGGAACTAACGGAGTGCCCTTCATCGTCATCCGCCAGACCTTCATCGAGGCTGCGCGTTTCCTCTACCACAACTTCTGGAGCAACGTCTCTCGCCGAGGGTTCAACATCAGTGTGCGGTTTTATCGCAACGGTAATTGAACGATGCCGTTGTCTCCTAGGCTTGATTGTTCTACGAGAAGAATTGGCCTCCTCAGGGCGAGATTCATTACCTTCGAGTTCCGGAGTTAAACCGTTGTTGTTAGTGGCAAACGTCTGATTGAAGGGGCCCATTTGGGGTTCTTCCAGACAGTTATCATCACAATAATATAGCGCACGGTACGGTGGGACTGAACACGACGTTTCTTGACTGGGGTTCAAGGTGGAGTAGGCTTTAGAGCTGAATGAGTAACACCTGGTTGCGCCTTTGTTCAATTCATCAAGTGAACCAACACTACGATGACGATGCAGTCGAGTGGTGGAATGTGGCGACCACTGTTGTAGCCTGCATTGATGCACCTTATGTCCGGACCGAGTTGAATGAGGCAAACCGGTCATAGATTTGTTGAACATGGGTATAGGAGGTTCCTGGGAATGGAGCTGTTGTGGACTGATCATATGTAGTTTAGTATCAGTGCGGCAGTGCTTGCAGCGAAAAATTTTGTCAGCCACCATGGAAATTTCATTGTCGTTTTTACCGATTTCTTCGTAAAATGGCCCAAAACAAAGGGTTTCGGAGGCCTTTACCAGAGGGACAGAGCTGTTCACGGTTGGTCTACCAGCACGTAACGTATGAGCTTGTTTGCATCCGGGAATGTTGGAATCTTCCACAGAGTTCCGAGGGAATGTAATAATCATACCAGGTAAAGCATGTGTCTGAATGCACTGCACTACACCAAATGGGCTACAGTCTGTGGTGCTCGATTGCAATCGATCGTCCCGTGTTCAAATATGACGACGGGTGGGTTGATTGAGCGGCATTAGAAATCTACTCAGAGAAGGACGAAGGCTGGTCAACCGGTGCACGTGAACAACTCCTGATCAATTTTTGTGCAAACAGTTTTGACTACTAAAGTTATAAAAAAATGAACGGTCTGAAGAACATTGAGTCGACTATTGGACATCATCTTGTGAGGTGACTGCCGGTTTCTCACTGTCAAGTACCCATGAGTCATGGGCTAAAAAGGGGTGATAGCGTTCCACCCCTACCTGATACGAAAAGAGACACAAAGACTAGCCCCGAAAACTTTGACAGACCACAGATTCGTAGACGGGTAGCACAGATATGGCTCCAAACGGGTGTTGTAAGCAGCTATCTATATAGGAGATATAACTCTGAACCCCACTGAACATCCGAGAAAAAACTCTTCTGGACAGAAATACGAAAAATTTGGCTAACGCACTGCGGCACTGCCGTCACAGAGACCAAAACAACGCGAATAGACTTTCCGTGGGGCTTTATGACGAAAACATAAACCCAGGTTAAACGCGTCATCATCATCATCTCATCGACAGCATGACATCCGTGTTCAACACCGATGCTTCACTGCTGTACAACCATGATTTATTTGAAAGCCTTATTGTAAAGAAAAGAGTAAAGGTGGATGGGGAAGTGACTTAGTGCTAGCTTACCACAATCACGAGGTGCCTATACCTCCAGACATTCGCTCAGGCAATCTGGACAGAAACTGACAACAAGAACGCCACTGACATCGATTAGAAGCCATATCTTGTAGTGTTTCCAACCAGGCACGGTAAGAAGTACGCGATCCCCATTCTGGAAAGCGAGTAGCACCAACAGCACCCAAGTGTTTCGTGATCTCCTTCATACTCCTCTGTCAAGTCAAGGGTTGGCCACTTCTCTGTTTACGCCACTCTGAATTGGGCATGGAAAACAGCACTCTCTTCAGCAAACGATGGTTCGACATACGTAACACCTGTCCCAACAAACGCAGGTTCTGGTGCTGGACGTATTCTTCAATGGAAGTACCCGTTGCAAATTTGCAAGCATCTTTTTACGGTGAAAATGTAGTAAAAGTTTATAAACTACCGACTTGCGATCTATACGGTGAGTAAGCAAGTCAAGTTGTGCCTTTGCTGCGCTTTACCGGTGCAAGGTAGAGACGCACGCGGAAAGCAATTTCGAGGACTGAGACACTACCAAGTTGATCGGGTACAGTCGAAAACTGAATGGTGGGTTTGAAATGGTGGTACTAGTCAGTGGTTTGCGCTTTGGCTATCTTGTGCTGATGAGATACCACGACCAAGCTCGATTAAGGAAGCCTATTTCATTCAGTACCAAACAAGACATACCTGCTGCGTTCGATTCACAGTTGGAGTTTGAACATGTTCGAGACGATCGTTTGGAATATGATGGAATATGAGAGGAGACTCATCAAATTCGGCGATCGCAGAACAAAGAGTGCAGGATTTCGTATCACTTGAGTGAATAGAATTGTCCCAGTCATGGGAAGGAAGGTTATCCTCTTGAATCACCATAGAGAGTTCTTGTTCAAGTTTCACGCATAAAGAATGCCCAAAATTCATGATCGATTTCAGGCGTTGTGCCAAAACTGTAATTTCAATGTCAATATTTCCACCAGACATCCAGGTGCGCTTCACCCAGTCCCTTTCAACCTGCTCAAATTCTAAACGCAGGTCCTGAAGTACTCGAAGTTTTTTTATCTGTGAAAGGTGCGGTGTTGGAAGAGGTGAGCTAGGTTATTAATTCGTCTAAACCATGTCTGAAACAAGCATCTGATAGTTTGAGCCTCGCAGAGTATAACGACGCCAAACCAAGTAGTCTAGCAATTTAATCTGAACACTACATTTAAGTAGGATCCAGATGGCTGAATCAGTATGTAAGTAGGAAGATTTTATACCGAAAAGGTTATCCCACTTCACACAGAATTGTTACGAAACAGTTCCCCGCTCATTGTAATTTCGTCTAGTATATACCACTCATTGATTAAACGTAGATGAGAATCAATAAACCAAATGAAGTCTAATTAATGCATCCAGAAGCCTTTGGGTAAGGAAAAAAACCGCCCAAACTGCGAATAACCAGAGGTTTTCACCGTGCACATGGAAAGTGCACATTCCACATACAATTAACAAAGAGAGAGCAGCCATACGGCGTACAACATATCCCTCTGGGCTTTAACCTAAGGTCGGCAGCCCTAAACATGGAGTTCGAGCGATTAACCTCGTGAGGATTTCATGAACTGCACAGTGCTATTTCACCACACTGATCAAACGGCTTTCAGTAAGTTAGAAAGTAACGCCTCCCAGGAAAGCATTAATACCATGTAAGGAGTCCGCAGCGTGGTAAAACAAACTTTGATATTTTTATGAAGGAAACTACCTACAAGGTTGCTGGAAACTCTTCAACAGCCTGAGACCGGTTTCGCCCTTCTTGGGGCTCATCAGGTAGACGCAGTCCCTGAGTTTCCGTCAACCTCATGGTCTACTTGAACCCAAACAGGGCTGATTGCGGCAAATACATGCATTTGCAAATCAATGTGGCTTCCACGGAGGACTCAAGTGAATCTCTGGTTTATGATGTTCTTTAACTG